ATCCGACCTACAAAAAGTGCCCATCTGACCTACAAAATTGAGTGGCCATCCGACAGCTACAATTAATTATTTCTATCATATATACTGAGCTATAGGCATGACAAGCTGCAAGGTCGAAAAATGCCCATCCGACCTACGAAAAATGCCCATCCGACCTACGAAAAATGCCCATCCGACCTACAAAAAGTGCCCATCTGACCTACAAAATTGAGTGGCCATCCGACAGCTACAATTAATTATTTCTATCATATATACTGAGCTATAGGCATGACAAGCTGCAAGGTCGAAAAATGCCCATCCGACCTACGAAAAATGCCCATCCGACCTACGAAAAAGGCCCATCAGACCTACTAACACGTGTCCAAGCGACAGTTTTAAGTAGGTCGGATGCACCAATATGCTGTTTATAACGTGCCCATCCGACCTACAGTGCATCGGACCAACCACAGCTGTTAAAACCGCGTGCTTGTAGGTCGGATGGGCAGTAGAGGGGATGGGCGTAGGTCCAAAAATACACCATCGAATTTAGAGTGTCCATTGCAAGAAAGACGACATTTACCTACATTGGAGCATATCCAGAATATCTAATCTTATATATATCGATGGGCAATAGCTAGAATCGTTTTATAGAAACTTTTTTTTTAACACTTATAAAAGGTTTTACGACAATCTGACTAAATTGTATCCAGCAGAAGTTTGCTGTTATTAAACCAAAAACCAAAAACTATCGTTTTAAAAACCCAAAAACGATTGTTTTAAAGCGAGCGTTTTTGCCTAATATGTTCTTCTAGGGTAACATATTTGACAAAAACAAACAGAATAAAGTATTACAATGTTGAAACCTTCTCATAATGTCGTAAAACCTTTAAAAGTCTAAAACCATTAAAAGTTTCTGTAAAATGAATCTTACTAATGCCATCCCTTCTTTATATATAACCTTGAGCCTAACATTCTCCGTGTTTAGAGCAATACAGGAGAAGTTGACTGAGGTTTTGAACTCTGAAAGGAATTGTATCCAGGAACCCAGGAATACAGAGGTGGAGATTGCTGTCTGTGGAAATGGTAAAATTTATTATTTGAAATTACGCCGACAAAAGGGGAGGGCAAAGGGGCCGTAAAAGATTCTTAAGTGAACGGTCCCCTTAAAGGGACTGTTTGCGTAACTTTAAGTGACACTTCATGCAAAATGAAATAAAAATTATAATATGAGCAAACCTGAGATTCTCAGGCTCCTGTTGGATATCGACGTTTTCAGATTGGTTGCGTATTTGTTGAATATAATCTATTTAATACTACAACTTTTATACAAAATCTGGCATATGTCCGTTATGGTATAATTTGGACACAGTTTTATGTCAATTTTTCGAGACAGGAACAAAGATAGATGTCTTATAGGTATCGTTCAAAACCTGAGATTTTCAGGTTTTTTAGATTCTCAGGTTTCATACTATTACCCCCTTTCATTTTTCCTTTACAGGAATATTGGAGCCTGGAGAACAATGTGACTGTGGATATGACGAGGTATGTTTTTCAATTGGATGAAAAAAAAATAATAAATTTGCGTACAAAATATATACGCAAATAAACACTGATATAGACAACCGTGTACGCAGGACAAACCCACTTTAACTTACACAAGTGTTTTACAATTGAGGAACAAAAGGAACCCATGCCATTATTGAGCTAATTTTAGATTTCTTGAATTGAACATGTTTATTAAAATATAATTTTCTTATCCTAATATCTTTGCAATCTGATATTTCAAATGAGAGTGAGAAACAGAAAACGTGATGAAGGAAGACGACATTATTGTAATAAGTCGTCTTCCTTGCCAGAGTTTTCTGTTTTTCTCTGTATAAATTCTGTTAGATCTACTTAATATAGTTTAAAACATAAAATGTTTTCGCAAACAGCTTGCAAAGATATAAGGATAACAAATTTGGCAAACTATATCAATTTCTTTAAATTCTAGATTTCTTGCAATGATCCATGTTGTTATCCTGCTTCGATCAGTCAGGCAGACAGAGATTATAATACTACTGGAGCACTCCCTTGTTCAACTAACCAAAGGTACAGGAGACTATAATACTACTGGAGCACTACCATGTTAAACTAACCAAAGGTACAGGAGATTATAATACTACTGGAGCACTACTCTGTTCAACTAACCAAAGGTACAGGAGACTATAATACTATAACTGGAGCACTACCCTGTTCTACTAACCAAAGGTACAGGAGACTGTAATACTACTGGAGCACTACCATGTTAAACTAACCAAAGGTACAGAAGACTATAATACTACTGGAGCACTACCCTGTTCAACTAATCAAAGGTACAGGAGATTATAATACTACTGGAGCACTGCCCTGTTCAACTAACCAAAGGTATTAAGTCGTCTTTTATTTCCATTGTTCATTGTCATTTATCATTTATCATTATTTTTTATCATTATTACTTTTATTATTATTATTTTTATCTATTTCAGGAAAAGATGTGTTAATCCCCCCGGATTAGTCTACGGAATTTATATTCCTCTTGTTTTCATCCTCATCGCGTCCATCCTAGTCATTGTTCTACTCAAGAACGATTGGTCAAGAGATAAAACATTGTTCAGGTATACAGGGGATTTAGAAAACTGTGGAAATTAAAGACGACATTTAAGCAATCTTATGTAAAGAATTTACTGATTAAAATGCAGAATATCTTGCATTTCATTCAAACGTAAGATTTTAAACTAATTAATTAAATTAATTTAAATCAATTAAATCTGAATCATAGATTTTTATAATTTATTTGTTTGTAATCTTTAATCACTGCATTTGATAAACTGAGAATAATGAGTTAATATTTCAGGCATATAACTCATGGTAATATCAAGATAGTTGCCAGAAAGCGTCAAGGTGTTAATAGTCTTCAGTCTTCTGAACAGGAGGCAGGTCTCTCATCCTAGATATCCTGAACAGGAGGCAGGTTGACTCCTAGTAGAATCTGAACAGGAGGCAGGTCTTCTGTAGAATCTGAACCGGAGGCAGATATATCATCCTAGATATCCTGAACAGGAGGCAGGTCTTTTAATAGAATCTGAACAGGAGGCAGGTCTCTCATCCTAGATATCCTGAATAGGAGGGAGGTCTCCTAATAGAATCTGAACAGGAGGCAGGTCTCTTAGTAGAATCTGAACAGGAGGCAGGTCTTTCAGTAGAATCTGAACAGGATGCAGGTCTCCTAGTAGAATCTGAACAGAAGGCAGGTCCCTAGTAGAATCTGAACAGGAGGCAGATCTCCTAGTAGAATCTGAACAGGAGGCAGGTCTCTCATCCTAGACTACTAAACTGAAGGCAGGTCTCTTTGTAGAATCTGAACAGGAGGCAGGTATCCTAGTAGAATCTGAACAGGAGGCAGGTCTCCTAGTAGAATCTGAACAGGAGGCAGGTCTGTCATCCTAGATAACCTGATAAGGAGGCAGGTCTACTAGTAGAATCTGAACAGGATATGAGAAATGTCACACAAAAAACAGGATTAAACTAAGAACTAAGAATGAAAGCTGAAAGAAAACATATGAACAAGGAAAGTACACGAGGAAACAGAATGGAATGAGAAAACATAAAGGTAAAATACTATGTGAATCAGACATGTGAGTTCAGGTCACTAAACGTTTAGTGGCAGAAGAAAAAATGGATTAGCCAAAGAGCAAAACAGTGTCCGAATTTAATGAATCTAAGCCTCGTCTCAATTCCGCCAAAAACCGGTTTTAATTGAGCGCCAGCTTAAATCTTGAAACATTGAATATGATTTTAAATGAACCAACCATATTTGAGCCTGGGCTTAAATTTAGGCCGCTGCTCAAATTCTTTAAAGTCGGCCTCTGCTCATCTTAACTTTAAACTCCAGTTTATTTAAGATTCAACTAATTGTACCGACTTCTAAGTCTCCAAATATGGATAAACTCATACCGTAAACCTCGGGCATGTCTAATTCACGACGGTTCAGCTTAAGCCGGTGCCTGATCTCTAATGCGAAAGTCATCAATGTTGTTTTGCTTGAAAAGTGATTAATTTTATGGTTCTTATTTTGTTTATTAGAGTTAAGAAATCCGCAAGTTATTTTTACACAAATAAAAAATCATTTTTATCTATTCTGAAACAGACAGAGTGTGCATGGGTATTGTTGTGAATCGAACGTGGCATTTACGAGAAAATACAATACATGGGTCTTTAAATCAGAGAAGAAGAGAGAAAAATCCTGATGAAAATAAAAAAAAACGATTCATAAAGTGAAAAAAAAATAAAAAATAACCTTTGAAATATTGTGATATTGTATATTAGTATTTTGAAAACTTTAATCTTTCTACACAATTATATAAATTGTAATTGAAGATATTCAAACAATTCTTTGAAGTTAGAAAACTGAATATATAAAAAGTGAAAAGTGATATTTGTGTACTCTATCAAAAGAAATAAAATAATATAGTGTAATTTAGTTTTTTGTTAACCTTGAATAATTCGCCTACCCTACAGGGTGTCCCAGGGTAAAATTCGCCTACAGGGTGTCCCAGGGTGCAATGCGCCTACAGGGTGTCCCAGGGTACAATTCGCCTAGAGGGTGTCCCAGGGTAACAGCGTGTTCCAGGGTGCAAATTGCAATTCGCGTACAATTCAAAATTAGATAAAATTTATTTCATATTATTGTGCGAAACTAGAGAATATTGAATAAAATTAACAATAAAAAGTTTTACAGTGTAGAAATACAATAATTATTCAAACAAAAAATTTTGTAATGCTCTTTTAGAAACAATATTATATCTTTAATGAAATGTAACCCAGGAAACTTTTTTTAAAGATTTTTAGACTGCACTTTTTATATAATTTTAAAATCAAATAATTTCTGAATTTTAGAGTGATTTAAATCTGAATTTTTAAGTTAAAATCTTAAACAATAAAAGTATTTTATCTTTTTATATATACTCATTTAAGAATAGCCACATAGACTTAACTCCGAAATTTAGATAAGTTAATTTTTAGGTTTTACGCTAATATCTCATGGAATAGTTTTTAAATGTTTGATTATCATTAACTCAACGTTCTTTTATTCAACACTCAAAAAATTAGAAACTCTTTGATTATATACTCTACAAAGACAAGAGTTAACAAACTTACTTGTTATCTGTCGAAGAATTTATTCACAATAACTTAGAGTAGAGTGTCAATACATAATACATACATGGTATTTATACTAAATCATAAAGGGGTGCAGTTTTGCACACAACATATATATATAATACTATACAAATATAACATTTAGCCTCGCCTGTACATGGTTTCATTGGATAAAGAAGGATTGTACTCAAATTCTGGTATACTATTGGTTGATAGAAATAGCACTGGGGCCTAGGTTAAATTTGGCTTTTACAAGGTTTTTTAGACGTCTAAGTTTTAAAGGTTCTATGGCTTTACAATGTAAAGGATTGAAGTATAAAGAAAAAAGGATGTATTCTTCATTACTAAGCCATGAGATAAATGTTAAGAATTCATGATTTTAGAATATGAATCTTTAAAGTAAAGGTTACAATCACATATATAGAAAAACAGAAGTGTTTATGATTTCAAAGATTTATCTGTGTTTATTGCATTATGAATAAATGCATTTTATGAATATTCTTCACACGTTAAGGTATAAACATTTTAATTATAACGTAACGTAGAGAACATTATTTTCATATCTTTCTTAGAAACAAAACGAATAAACAGTGTATTTTAAAATAAATAAATTAACTTGGGCAATATATTTAGATTGAACCCGTCTCTGGAACAGTTCTTGGATTATTTTATTATGTGAGAGATTCGAGACTCTGTCCTGGTTCCAATCGTAACCCTGTAATAGATCATGACATGCATGAGATATTTTAAACGGCCGGATTTTGGTCGCGAAACAAATGCTGTCTAAAGAAAGAGATGACACAAATGATCAGATAATCACATAAAGATAGAATTGAGTATCCAAGAATAAGACCAAGGAGCCCACCGAGTCCATTTATCAATTCCCAGCCATCATAAACAAGGCTTTCTTCAGTTATCTATACAAGAGACTGTCTTAGTAATTAGTGACCCTTGATTTTTAAAGTGGTATGCCCGAGTCACAATGTTACCCTGGAAACCTTTATTTAATCAATAATGTAGAAGATAACCTCGTTTTTCTAGCTTGAAAAGTGTGTTTTCTGATAATTACTAAATTGTTTTCACTTTTTAATCAAACATTGCTTTTATGTGATTCGACATGTCATTCTATAAATTAAGGGTCACTTGAAATTTAACCATTTTATCACAATTGAACATATATCTTATCTAATTTTGTAAAAATACCTTAACACGATCTGAATAAGATTCAAGAAAAAATTCCGAAGTCCAGTTTACAGCCCAATTTATCTTCTCTCTTTTAATAGACTTTATAATAATGGTTTCTTTAACACATGGTGAGTAACAACCTACAATTTAAAAGATGAATTATAACTCTTTATTCCCACAAACATGACAGTAGCAAGATGACTTGAAAATGTTCTTTGAACTATGGAATTTTTTTGTAACATTCAGTCGTCAACATACTTATACAATATACATGTATGATTCTTGAAACAATAACCACAAAACTCTTAGTCTTAGCAATTCCAAAATGTGGTCTGCCTTTTTTGTGCTATTGTAAGCACAAAAAAAGGCAGACCACATTTTGGAAATGCCAGGACTAGAAGGTTTTTGTGATAATTAACTCTTTAATTTTAAATTCAAAAACTAGGTTTATTAATAAATGCCGCAAATATTTTTAATATCAAAGATGACCTTCTATTCATAATATTTCGTGGGACACCCTGTATGTTAAATGGCTAGAATAATTTGGGGTTTTATTTACCTGAACTTTCTGAAATGGTTTTAAACGTCCATTTAGATATGTTGTCCATCAGATCATATAGCTTTTTAATTTCTTCTGCACTACCACACAATGGAACGTTAACAGAAGCTTCAGAAAACCAATCAAGTTTGCATCCTGTCTTTTCAAAAATATACTCAAATACACAGTCTGTAAAACTGTACTCCTAAAGTAAAAATCTTGAGTTTTATTGATTTTAAATTACAAGGCTATCGTGCCCGTCTTCTATTTCAACTTTTATTAATGCTCAAGCTTTCAACACTTTCTCTTCACCAAACCAAAAATATAACATTTTGCGGAATTTAAAATTTTACGAAAATCAAAAGTTTTTGGAAACAAATTTTTGTAAATCTGAACATCAATAAACCTTCCCTGGGGTCATGTTAGTTCCCACGCAAAATTGGGGCCTGATCGGTTCAGCCGTTTTGACGTTTATTGGATTGAAAAAAAATAAATGGACACCAAAGCAAAGTTAGATAGATTCCTGATTTAAAACCTTTCCTTGTCGTCAATGCAGTTAAATACTGCTGGGAGACGGGTTTCTATTTCACGCTCAAACTCAACCTAAACTTTAAAATATTAACATTTTCAGACTAAATTGGTCGGTTGCATGTACATTAATCCAAAGTGTTGTGAAAAGTTGCATTAGTTTTTAAGACTTGGCCAACTTTGAAGTGTTGCAAAGGCCTGAGTCTAGCTCACATATATTTTTTAAAACTCTAAAATAATTGTGTTCAGCAGAAATTGGAAAAATTCTCATTGTTTTTTTTTGCGTGAGAACCTTTGGATCACAGTGTAAAAAAATGTATTGGCAGAGGCCCAAAGGAGTTACGCACACATGCCGCGTTAAATAACAAGACAGAGAAAGAGCCTGTTCTAGCCGCAGCGAACTGAAATAAGTATGCACACTCACACAGACACTTCTAATAAACAACCTACTACTATTTCTTGCATCTGATTGGTCAATGATTCTAGAGATAAAGCTCTCATTTTTTAAATCCTTTCACCATTCATAACAAATAAATTAAATCTGATGAACAGAACGAAACTCTAAATATTGACCTTTATATATTCTCCCCTATTCAGTAGTATTTGCTTTGCTTGTCCAGTTTCGCTTAGTACATCAGAGGCCCAGAAATGCTGAAACATTTTATCATATTAATAAAAACTCATTATATTTAAAAAAATTTAAATTCATTATTGGGGCAGTGCACAAGGAACAGTAGTTTTTTTCAATTAACAAACTGGATTTCACATGAATAACCACATTGTTAAAATAAAAGAATCACCATAAATTTACAAAAGAGGAACTAATACCTCATTTACCATCTTTAATAATAAACGTCATGCAATAAAAGATATTGTTCAAATATCATTTACAATTAGGGCTGGGCACGTTCCAACTTTTTCTAGCCGTTTCCTTAACTGTTAGTTCTAACCGTTAAAAAATAAAAATTTCAGGTAGCCTTAAATTTTAAAGGCAAGAATGGAACGTTTGTTTCATTGACAACATTTACCATTTTTTAAACAGCGCAAAGCAGCGGAAAATAATTTGTTAACCATTAAAAAATTGTTGAGATCTAAATATTGATTTTATGCTAATCCATTTAAAGATTTCAACAGGTTTACATTACATTACAAGATATAGCATTACATTTTCATCATTTTCATAATTTCCCTCAATCTTAAATCTAGTTCCGCCTTTGTAGGTCTTCGTTCAGGCTCGGGAACAGGCACAGGATTAGGTTCAGGTTCAGTGTGAGGATGAGGTTCAGTTTCAGGTTCAGCTTCAGGCTCAGAATCAGGGTTAGAGTCAGGGTAGAGTTCAATTTCATGCTCGGAGCTTTTATGTCTATTTTCCCCGTCCAGCTGAGGAATAGGAGATGATACTTTAGATTGAGAGCGTGTCTTTCTCTTCTTATGGGAGGTTAAATTTGAGGTTTCTTCAATACTTGGCAGTATCACAGAAACTATCTTAAGGGCCTTGAACCCTTCCTCGGACTGGGGGCCTCTCATGGACCTCTCCTCAGACTGCGGGACTCTCAGGGGCCTCTCCTCGGACTGGGAGTTTTTTGTGTACCTCTCCTCGGACTGGGGGCTCTCATGGACCTCTCCTCGGACTGTGGGGCTCTCATGAACCTCTCCTTGGACTGGGGGGTTCTCATGGACTTCTCCTCAGACTGGGGGACTCTCATGGACCTCTCCTCGGACTGGGGGGCTCTCATGGACCTCTCCTCGGACTGGGGGGCTCGCATGGATATGTCCTCGAACTGGGTGGTAACATGGTAGTTTGGTTCATCACCTGTTCTCATCCTTATTCTTCATCTCTTTCGGGTCCTGCAAGGACCAGGGAGCTTGCAATTTTGAGAAGTTAAAGTACTCGATACCTTCTCTGAACCACAGTTTTAGCTCCACCTCTACACCAGCTTGTAAACACTCCCTATATAAGCCCAGAACTTGATGAGTAAAACTCATTGTGGAGTATGTTTTAACGATAGGTAAGGTTTATATCGTCCCATAGCAACAGCTATAGAAGCCTGCTTGGGAACAGTGGATCTGGTTTAGGAGATGTCTAGAGGTGTTGTTGACGGCAGCAGGTTATGAGAGGGACTGAGAGAGCTATATAAAATTAGTACCCTGTAAAAAAAAGCAAACGAATCATGTAATTTCTTAGCTTTCCACATAGTCAGTGACATCAACGCCGGAATATTAATTAGAAAAAAATTTATAACAACGCAGCTGTTACTGGGCTATTTCAAAAAAATTTGTTGATGGTTATAAAATCATTTAATGTGCAGCTGTTAACGGTCTTT